ATATATATATATATATAAAATTCAATAGTTATAATAAGGAATGATATTAAAATGCAATTAATACATGTAACATGACCATAAATAATCAAAATATTTATGGTAATCCGAACCTAATTATTTTTTGTTTGGAATTAAATTAAAATTTACCCAAGCCTAATAACGAAGCATGTAATTTTGCCAAATAGGATTACGAAGCACCAGAAGCAGCCACGTAGTTCAGTGCGTTCTGAATTAATATATAGGGGGGATTCAGTTAGACAAAAGATTAATTGCTTTAAATATTATATTAATTATATTTTAAAAATTCCAGTATAATTGTAATTGTATTAATTAGTTTGTTAGGAATGTGATTATATGAAAGTTAAGATAAAGTTAAAATTACCCAAAAAAATTTATTTGTGATATTTTCCTTTATATGTTTGAACTTAAAAATCTAATAACCAAATTTAGATTACATCACGTAAGAAAAATAAATAAATAATAAACATTTATTAAAGGTATAAATCAATAGTATTTATCACTTATACTAGTACAACACCCGTGTATTACACGGGTGCTTGCTAATATTTTTTTCTTAAAATCTAAAATTAATTAGAAAAGTAGTTGAAAATTTAATACCTTTTACAAAAATATATATATTATTATATATTTAGTATGCCACTTTTTATTTGTGCAACTTACCTGTGTTATATTATAATAATTTTTTTAACTTACAACTCCATTAAACATAAATATATCAATTGAGAAATAATTTTATTTTCCTAGTGAATTTTAATAAATATTATTATTTTTTTATCACTATAAAGATAAATATAATTTATTTATTTCATATACACAATATGGATGTCAAATCGAAGATCATCAAAAGATGATTAATTTGATATATTATATATGTAAAATCGACAATAAATACAAAAGTTATCAATTTTTAAAATATATTTATAATTCAATAGCTAATTGAAGGAAACAAATCAAAAGTTATGGATATATTAGTCACTTAGTGTCTCACTATGTAAAATTACAAAGAAATAAAGGGTTATATTAGTACAATTGATATTAAAATACATAAGTTAGCTAAATAATATTTATGAGATGTCCAAACCTAAATCATTAATTATTAATATATGAATATTATTTTTCCAAACCTAATTACGAAGCATGATTCTTTGCCAAGTAGGATTCCGGAGCACCAGAAACAGCCACGTAGGCTCAATGTATTCGAGATTAATATATAGGGAGGATATTAAATAATAAAATTTTACACGTAAGAAAAAAAATAAACAATAATATATTTAAAAATAAAACTTAGAATTTCAAATAAAGCAAAAGTAGGAATAACTTTTTTTAAAAAAAAAAAAAAAAAGTTTCTAAATGTTTAATATATTGGTAAGTATCTCCATAAGAGTAATCATACCATTTTAATTTCAAAACAATTGGCAAGTTTGTGATGTAGAACGTGATACGTTGGGAAAGATAAGAGGAGATACTCTCTCCAGACAGATAAAATATCAGATGAAAAGTTTTCATAAACATTCAACGAGTCTTTTCAGTACGCATACATCAATATAAATACCCTAGAGAATCCATCTTTTGCCCAACACCTCAAGGAAATTATTTACCTACCATAATTAATATAAAAACAGCTAATAAGCAAATAAAGGGAATGAGATAAAATAATACTAATACTACTAAATAAGCTAAACCCGAAGACGATCGTATTTGTCCAAATAAACAATAGCGGTCTCGTCTTCATCATTCCCCCCCGGTTGGGGAGGATTCGGCCTCGAATCCGAAGGAGTCTCGTCTTCCTCCGAATTGTCCCCAACAAAAGGCACCAGATGCTTGACATTGAACACGTCAGACGTGCGAACATGAGACGGGAGACGGAGACGATAAGCATTGGGATTGATCATTTCAAGAATCTCTACCGGGCCTATCTTCCTTGCCGCCAGCTTGCTATATTCATGGGCCGGGAACCTGTCTTTAGTCAATACCGCCCACACAAAGTCAACTACCTCGAATTCGACGTGCCTACGTCGAGCATCCGCATGGCGCTTGTACGCCGCCGTAGCCTCCTCCAAATGCGCCCGAGCAACGACATGAGTGGCCTGTAGATCCGAAATAAGATCGGCGGCCCGCCGATCCACCGACGGCGCGGACGGCAAAGCGAGCAGGTCGGCGGGACCACGGGGTTGAATCGCATACACGACCTGAAACGGTGAGAACCCGGTGGCCCGGCTGATAGCCGAGTTGTGCGCGAACTCGGCCTGGCTGAGCCAATGATCCCAACTGCGAAGATTATCGCCTACCAAGCAACGAAGCAAGTTCCCCAACGAACGGTTGACCACCTCCGTCTGGCCATCGGTTTGGGGATGGTATGCACTACTGAAATCCAGGCGACTGTTCGCCATACGCCACAAACTACGCCAAAAGTGGCTCAAAAATCGAGTGTCGCGATCGGAGACAATCGAAGAAGGCAGTCCATGCAAGCGATATACCACACGAAAGAACAGCTGAGCGACATGAAGGGCATCCGTGGTACGCTTACACAGTATGAAGTGCACCATCTTCGAGAACCGATCGACCAGCACAAAGATAGAATCAAAGCCTCGCTGCGTCCTCGGTAAACCCAAAACAAAGTCCATGCTGACTGCACTCCAAGGATGAGAAGGAATAGGCAGAGGACGATACAAACCGGCATTAGAAGCAATACCTTTGGAGACGTGGCAGACGCAACAACGTTCGACAAATCGAGCCACATCACGCCGGAGGGAATGCCAAAAGTAAGAACGCTGGACCAGCTCAGCAGAGCGGTCGCGGCCCACGTGTCCAACACCATGAAGGTCGGCAATGAGCTTGCGACGAAGACTGCAGGCTAGGATACAAAGACGGAGTCCCCGAAACAGAAAACCATCCATAAGTGTATAATCGTCACAAGGGCCAGACTCCACGTGCCGCAAGATCGGGCCAAAGAAAGAATCATCGCGATACAACTCCTTCAACACATCAAAACCGATCATAGAGACACGCATGTCAGTCAACACAAGAGCTCGTCGACTCAACGCATCGGCCACCCTGTTCAAAACGCCGGGACGGTGACGAAGAACAAAAGTGAACTGCTGGAGAAAAGCCGTCCACGATGCATGGCGAGCAGAAATATTATTATGTGAAGCCAAATGACGAAGAGCCTCATGGTCGCTAAAAAGAACAAACTCCCGATGAAACAAATAATGGCGCCAATGGCGCACCGCTCGCACGACTGCATCAAACTCCACATCATACGTAATGTATCGCGCCCGAGGGCCCGAGAGCTTCTCACTGAAAAATGACACCGGTCTCCCTTCCAGGCTGAGCACCGCGCCAATCCCAACTTCCGAGGCATCACAAGAAAGTTCAAAGGGTCTCGAGAAATCTGGCAAAACAAGGACCGGCGCCGATGTCAACTTAGCCTTAATCGTCGCAAATGCAGCCTCCGCCTCCGGAGTCCATATAAAAGACTTTCCCGTGAGAGAATCAGTGATCGGGGCGGTGATAGTACTGAAGTGGGAAATAAAACGACGGTAGAAAGAGGCAAGACCGTGAAAACTACGTGCCTCCGTAAAAGAAGTCGGAGTCGGCCAGTCACGAATAACAGCAACCTTACTCTCATCTACCCGAATCCCATCAGCAGAAATCACAAAGCCCAAGAATAAAACAGAGTCAACCAAGAAGAAACACTTACGTGGGGCTGCAAAAAAGGACTCGGCACGCAACACCACTAACACAAGGCAAGGAGGTCCTTCCCGAGGAGGGCATTGAAGTCCCCGAGGAGTAACCAAGGCAAGGAGGTCCTTCCCCGGTATACCCTAAGGTCATTCCAGAACATCTT